CACTGCGGTTAGCAAGTAGCAAAGTTTACCACGACGGTAGAGATAGCAAGTGGGTCTTCACACTGCGGTTAGCAAGTAGCAAAGTGTACCACGAGGGTAGAGTTAGTGAGTGGGTCTTCACACTGCGGTAAGGCAACTAGCAAAGTGTTCCACGAAGGTAGAGTTAGTGAGTGGGTCTTCACACTGTGGTTAGCAAGTAGCAAAGTGTACCATGACGGTAGAGTTAGTGAGTGGGTCTTATTACTGCGGTTAGCAAGTAGTGGTAGAGTTAGTGAGTGGGTCTTAACACTGCGGTTTGCAAGCAGCAAACTTTACCACGCCGGTAGAGTTAGTGATAGGGGCTTTACACTATGGTTAGCCATTAACAAAGTGTACGACGACGGTAGAGTTAGTAAATGGGTCATTACACTGAAGTTAGCAACTTCTAAAACGTACCACGACGGTAGAGTTAGTGAGTTGGTTTTCATACTAAAGTTAGCGACTAGCAAACAGTTACACGGCGGTTGAGGTAGTTGGTGGGTAGTTATTCACACTGAAGTTTGCATTTCCACGATGGTGGAGACATACACTGGTTTCGTAAGTCCTTGTGTGGGAATCGAAACATGACTTTCCCCGTTAAAGTGATCTTACCTTGTAACATACTTAAACTGGTTTGGTACACAAAGTCTACACACACACGATCCTGTAACGTTTATCATTGACAGTGTTGACGCAGAGGGACGTCATCGATGTGCTTTGAAGAACAAGCTGTCGACATGCTGGGCGCCGATGTCATGCCAGTAAACGCTTTCAATGTGAATACATTAAATGCCGTTTGATGTTAATGTGAGTGTTATAATATTTACACTATAGGCAGATAAGCAATAAATTTGAATTTAATTTACAATACTCACATACATTTAAATGAGCCATAAACTGAATAACATTCCGTAAACATTCATTATGATGCTGAAGTAATATGATGAATGGAGTTAGTGAGTGAGTTTTCACACTATGGATAACAACTTCCCAACGGTGCAACGACGGTAGAGTTAGTGAGTGGGTCTTTACACTAAAGATAGCAACTTCCCAACGGTGCAACGACGGTAGAGTTAGTGAGTGGGTCTTTACACTAAAGATAGCAACTTCCCAACGGTGCAACGACGGTAGAGTTAGTGAGTGGGTCTTCATACTGAAGATAGCAACTTGTTAAACGTACCACGACAGTAGAGTTATAGAGTGAGTCTTCACACTGACGTTAGCAACTTCCCAACGGTGCAACGACGGTAGAGTTAGTGAGTGAAGAGTGAAGAGTGAAGAGTGAAGAGTGGGTCTTCATGCTGAAGTGGCAACTTGTTAAACGTACCACGACGGTAGAGTTAGTGAGTGGATCTTCACGCTGAAGTTAGCAATTTCTAAAATGTACAATATAAGTAAATATATTATTTACAATATTCGCAGATGTGCAATAAACTACATTTAATTTACAAAGCTCACATGCATTTAAATGAGCCGTGAACAGAATAACATTCCTATTCATTAGGATGCTGAAGTAATATAACTCATGTTAAATATTTAAAGAGAAACCGATGAAAATGCTATGGTGATCCGTGTAGTGTTATCATGTCAACCCAACGACATGGATGTATGCCAGCGACTGCATCTACGGCACTATCACTCTGTTGACACGCTGGGACGTCCACGTAATTGCCATTCGGGCTACTCTAAATAGAAACGCATATTATTTGTTCACTACCACTTTCTTCATTTATCCGATAATTAAAACCGCCGCTATACGTTCTTTGTTGGCTAGATAATTTTTAAGGAATCAATTCATTACAGGAAAAATAAACAGATTATAATTATATCATATTAAAGCCCGAAAAAATGGATCTGAACCAATGTTTTATAAAAGTACTTATCTTCGAACGACTAGCATTTTGCACTCTAAAGATCCGAGAATATCAATTAAATTTTATGCTTATATGTGAATAAATAATGAAATAAATATTGTCATAGTACAGTCTCTGGTGATCCATACACTGTACTGGAGTTTAATATGTAAACTGGCGATCGAAAGAAACGATTCCACATTTTAGAATATCGAAACTTTCAATAAAATGCTGCATAAAACTATAGCTCCACAGCATGGGGATGCTGAGAATATCAGATGAAAGTGGTTTAATTATTACATAATCTTGGAAAATGCTTGGTTGTGGAGGGGTTCTCAAAGCCGATACTGCCACCTTCTCAGAAAGTGCCTTCAAACGCCCGACAAACTAAATGATACTATTATGTTTAAAATAAATGAGAAACTTGCTTAATTTCAACTCGCTTTATATTTCCTCGACTGTATAATGAAATACCTTCATAATCCGTATGGAAATTTACGCCCGACTAATCGTTGTCATTAAGCTCTCTAGAAGTGACATATTCATTGCTTCAGGTTGGTCAATATGCTGTCTATTATACAATGTTTGCGCGTGTTCTGTGAACTCTCATTGTTGTCTAATATACAATGTTTGCGCGTGTTCTGTGAACTCTCATTGCTGTCTATTATACAATGTTTGCGCGTGTTCTGTGAACTCTCATTGCTGTCTATTATACAATGTTTGCGCGTGTTCTGTGAACTCTCATTGTTGTCTAATATACAATGTTTGCGCGTGTTCTGTGAACTCTCATTGCTGTCTATTATACAATGTTTGCGCGTGTTCTGTGAACTCTCATTGTTGTCTATTATACAATGTTTGCGCGTGTTCTGTGAACTCTCATTGTTGTCTAATATACAATGTTTGCGCGTGTTCTGTGAACTCTCATTGCTGTCTATTATACAATGTTTGTGCGTGTTCTGTGAACTCTCATTGTTGTCTATTATACAATGTTTGCGCGTGTTCTGTGAACTCTCATTGTTGTCTAATATACAATGTTTGCGCGTGTTCTGTGAACTCTCATTGCTGTCTATTATACAATGTTTGCGCGTGTTCTGTGAACTCTCATTGCTGTCTATTGTACAACGTCTGCACGTGTTCTGAGCGGATACACGCGGGACTTCTCGATGTCAACAATCAATCGATTTAGTGTCATAGGGTTATAAAACATATTGCAATGTATCGGTGGTAGCCACCAATTTCTCAATGCCATTTAGCACAGGTCTAGTTGCTTAGATTATATATGCTTATAAATGTCTCAATTGCCTTGGTACTTTAGAACAAGACTGCACACTTTTACGAAAAGACTCTTGTTGCTTCACAATCAAGGGCCTGGTTACGTACGTCATTCCAGGAATGTAATAGTAGACAGTCTGCGTTGCCATCCCACGCTATAGCCTTAACACGGAGATTTGCATCACCTCAATCACAAGCACTTACTTATCTAATTAGTGGCGGGTGCTACCGGCAGAGCAGAGCTACCCCTTTCGAGAACCCTTGGTTGTCACAGTGATATATTTACATAATTTACATCACTATTTTGCCTTTCAGCCCTATGGAATCTGGAGATATTCTTGGAGATATTCGCGACTGATTAAACTAAAGCGTTGATGTTTTAAATTTACAGTGATGATAAACTTACACTACACAATTATAATAATAACAACATTGTTTTCGGTGCCTTAGGTTTGGTACCTCCCAATCTGTTGACTGACATTGGGAGAGTACCCGGATTTGCTAGCACGAATACAGCCCTTCTGACAATCTGGGTAAAGCAAAAGGCTCCAGTATTGCGGAGTCTTCACATTCCCCGAAAAGTTCTGCATGGGTTGGACTAGGCAGCGCTTCCTAGGAGAAGGCCCATTCGCTGTCTGGGCTGCGTGTAGCAGGGGCAAGAGCCCTGAGCTGATGATGAGCCTAACCAGCCTGACTGTGTCAGGATCACCCAAAACCTCTTTAATGCATTTTTTATTTTAATCTGTAGATAATAATAATAATAATAATAATAATTCTGTACTGCTGGACGGTACAGTAATGAATGTCAACCAAGCGAAGTGCCATATCAAGTCGCCCGTGACTCAGTTTTTCAAGGAGAGTCTATTTAAACGACCACTGCATCGAGTTTATGTGCAGTGTGTTGAGAAGATCAGCAATGCTGCAGAGTCCTTCGGTTGGATGAAGTCGTCTGGCCTGAAAAGTGAAACAGAAGGCTTTCTGTTTGCTGCTCAGGACAAGTCACTTCCCACTCGAAAAAGTCAATGTGTGATTTTGCATCAAATGTAAACTTAATATGAAATGTAGATTATGTAATGAATTTAATGAAACTGTCCAACACATTGTCAGTGGATGCCCTGCTTTGGCACAAACACAGTATCTTAAGCGACATGGTGATGTAGCTAGATCATTTTATTACCGTCTTCGCCATGCTTGTAGTTTTATCACAGAGGTCCACCCACGGTACGACCCGGAATACGTCGAGGGCGTCATGGAAAATGATAAATACAAAATTCATTGGAATGGGCCCGTTTACAGCCGCAGACATATCCAGGCCAACAAACCTGATCTTGTCCATTTTGATAAATTCAATGAAATCCTTTATATCATTGAATTTTCTATCCCTTTTGACACTAATGTGATTGACAAGTTTTAGGTCAACATGGCAAATATGCGGACCTCGCTTTCGAAATGTCACGCTTGCATCCCCAGTATCAAGTTGTCCGACTCCCCATTGTTCTCGGTGGCTTAGGTTTGGTACCTCCCAATCTGCTGATTGACATTGGGAGAGCACCCGGATTTGCTAGCACGAATACAGTCCTTCTGACAATCTGGGTAATGCAGAAGGCTCCAGTGTTGCGGAGTCTTCACATCCTCCGAAAAGTTCTGGATGGGTTGAGCTAGGCAGCGCTTCCTGGGAGAAGTCCCATTCGCTGTCTGGGCTGCGTGTAGCGGGGACAAGGGCTCTGAGCTGATGATGAGCCTTATCCGCCTGATTGTGCCAGGATAATAATAATACTTTTAATAATAATACCAACAACAATAAAACAACAACAACAACAACAATAATACTTCATTTATGTGATGAAACACACCTACCTTTGCGACAAATGAGTACTCTGGGTTTTCCATGGTCAGCCAGATGACCTGTTTGAGGGAGGTCTCCTTCGTGTACATCAGATCAATGTCTTCCTTAAAGGTTTCCTGGATCTTCTTCTGCACCTCCTTGTCGTGGACGTGTACGGAGAAGGACTTCCAGCAGCAGTCCGCCACCATGTCTTCAGAGATCTCCCAGAACTCCATCTCCCTCCGGACCGCCACGGTGCACATGTTGCTGGGGATGTGGAACTCCCCTGTCCGGTACAGGTCAAGCACGCAGTGCATCATGGTGGGGTTCCGGTCATAGTAGAACTCCGCCGTACTACTATCATATTCCTCAGAAGAAGTTGTCAACGTTGCCAGTCTTGTCAAGGGAAATCTTTGCAACAGAGATCGCCGGATGCAGAACTTCTTCCCTGCCACATTAAGGACACATTTCTCTGTGGCTAGGCCGGACATGGTAGTGGTTGTTGGAACATAACTTTCTCTATTGGTGAAGTTGTCGGAGTGTTGTGGCTTCACGCTGACTGAATAAGGCTATCTGCGTGCGACACCTAACAGCGGCATGGCAGCATATGCGAGCTGATGTCATACACGGTATTGATCCTGCCCATACAGTACACAATGACAAGTTGCCTATTGGCCTCTAGAATGAGTCAAATGAGAGACTAGTCAACGTTCAATATATATAATTTTCTGCCTTTGTAGGGGAAACAGCTTCCTAAACATTCCCCCGAGGAGTGTATCTCACTACGCTGGTGTTGTGACACCGTTATACGGGCGCTGATATGTGTCCGTATCATCTGTATCGGATTTAATATTTGAAAATACATATGGTGTGAATTATGGCGTCGTCATATTGTAAGAAATATCGAAACACACATTTTTTATAACCGAAACATTCCAGAATGTCTTTAATGAAATATTCAGTTAAATATTGATCAATCTAATTCCTTACGTGCATGATGGAGCCGATTTATAAAAATCTATTTCGGCATCCATCAAGCAGACATAATACACAATGCCGAGACACACTTCACTTCTCCAAAGAATTATTTATTTTTCTGGTGTTGTTTGGAAATAACGTCTGGAGATGGTTGTCGTCTAGATGTGTGCTTTGCATAGTAATGCCGGCAGTATTTAGGACTATAGGAGGTCACACGGTCAAATATACCTAAAATGAAAGTATACCTGACAAATACGCAAAGAAAAGCGCCATCTTAACAAAAACAAACGTTTGTACGACACTCTGGTTTTTTTTGTCGGGGTAAATATGACATATGCAATGTGCAACACGACACAGAGGTGTACAATGCATTCATGTAAAGCGCCACTCCCCATACAGCTACTGTTTGACGTCAAGTGTATGTTTACTATCAATGCATAACAAAGGACGCATTTCAATTATGCTTCACGGAGAAAGGCAAATCTCGCAAATTAGTCACGTGATAAAAACGATGTCGTGGTACGATGTCTCACAAGACACTGGTAATGAAAAACTATTTTTGCTCAAATTTAAACAAAGATTATTAGACATATTTCGGCAAAACTGGCACCAACAAGTTTCCTCTTCACACATTCTCAAGCATTTTGCTGGTATTAAATCATTGTTACAACCAGAAAAATATTTAAGCATATTACAAGATAAAATTCAATTGAGAGCTCTTTGTAAATGTAGATTATCTCTCCATATTGTCCTTGTCAATAAATATCGTAGAACCAAGGATAGTAATCGTGGTACGATGACATACAGCAGTGGTCGGGAACACAAGCAACGACCACACTGTCGTGGTACGATGACATACAGCAGTGGTCGGGAACACAACCAACGACCACACTGTCGTGGTACGATGGCATACAGCAGTGGTCGGGAACACAAGCAACGACCACACTGTCGGGGTACGATGACATACAGTAGTGGTCGGGAACACAACCAACGACCACACTATCGTGGTACGATGACATACAGCAGTGGTCGGGAACACGGGCAACGACCACACTGTCGGGGTACGATGACATACAGCAGTGGTCGGGAACACGGGCAACGACCACACTGTCGTGGTACGATGACATACAGCAGTGGTCGGGAACACGGGCAACGACCACACTGTCGTGGTACGATGACATACAGCAGTGGTCGGGAACACGAGCAACGCTCCTTCTATCGGGGTACGATGACATACAGCAGTGGTCGGGAAAACGGGCAACGCTCCTTCTGTCGGGGTACGATGACATACAGCAGTGGTCGGGAACACGGACAACGCTCCTTCTATCGGGGTACGATGACATACAGCAGTGGTTGGGAACACAAACAACGACCACACTGTCGGGGTACGATGACATACAGCAGTGGTCGGGAACACGGACAACGCTCCTTCTATCGGGGTACGATGACATACAGCAGTGGTCGGGAACACAAACAACGACCACACTGTCGTGGTACGATGACATACAGCAGTGATCGGGAACACAAACAACGACCACACTGTCGGGGTACGATGACATACAGCAGTGGTCTGGAACACAAACAACGACCACACTGTCGTGGTACGATGACATATAGCAGTGGTCGGGAACACGGACAACGACCACATTGTCGGGGTACGATGACATACAGCAGTGGTCGGGAACACAACCAACGACCACATTGTCGGGGTACGATGACATACAGCAATAGTCGAGAACACAAGCAACGACCACATTGTCGTGGTACGATGACATACAGCAGTGGTCGGGAACACAACCAACGACCACACTGTCGTGGCACGATGACATACAGCAGTGGTCGGGAACACAACCAACGACCACACTGTCGGGGTACGATGACATACAGCAGTGGTCGGGAACACAACCAACGACCACACTGTCGTGGTACGATGACATACAGCAGTGGTCGGGAACACAAACAACGACCACACTGTCGGGGTACGATGACATACAGCAGGTGAAATGTTATAACCGTTCGAGTTTTACTGCAGTCCTTAAGACTCCACATGGGACCACATGATGTATGGAACCAATCATATGTACATAACACTACCAAATCAAGGACAAAAGATATTTTGTGACATAATTAAAAGAACTATTTTGAAAGTTGTCTTTATCGTTTAGATATTAGGTTTTATGTACAGTCTATTTGGCACATACTTTGTGGCATAAACCTTGTGTTGCGAAACTGTGATGTAATGTTGACCAGTATTGAGCAGGAAATGCCCTTTACCCAAACTTAACAGGGCGATGCGAGCAGTCAATAAGGATAAGACAATGTCATGGCAAACAAAGTCGCATAACTGATGTAACATTCAACAGTGAAAAGGTTTGTTCGGCGTATTAATGACAAGACAAACTATCCAGCTAGAGCTCGGTTACCAATGTTGCTGTGTTTGACGGCTAAATATGCTTCCAGTTGGGGGGAGATCCCGGCGCGACACCTTCACACTGGGAACATCTGTCTAGACTCAAGCCGATTAGGATTTCAACAAGAGTTGAGGTCAACGACATTGGAATATCGTTACTAAGAACGTCTTACGCACATACATGAATTTAGAGAGTAAATATGTTTTCGCTGAGTGGTTATCTCGTCATGGGTAAATGCCAAGCCCATGTGTTCACCCGTGCTTAAGAAGTCATATATATATATGTTTCTAGTGCTCAGGAACCTGTCGAACCTCCTTCAAATGAAACCTAGTTGGATTGGAGCCTTTAGAGAACGTGTCACATAAACGCTTCAGACTTACACGACATGGCGCAACGGACACATACTTACACATTGAAGGGGCAGTTTTAGGGAAATAGGTAAACCAGGTGTCAAACCACTGGTCAAGGTTGGTCAGACCACTTCCTGTCCACATGGAAGTAGTATAATTGATTCAACATCACGTGTCCCTAAAGTACAAGCCAAATGAAACTACATAAATCTTAACTTGCATCAAAGTTAGGGAAGAGTTATATAAACAAGTCATAACCACAACTCAGTTAACAGCTGTGAACAATCGTCATTCTACATTGAATACATAAATATTCACTTTAAGGGGGCGCTTCTCATGTCTTTTACGCACGTTTGCATGTCCAGTAACATTTTACTTGCGAAAGGTCATACTGACAATGTATGGTGACCAACCTTTTCGAACGTTATCATGAATGTGTTAACGAATATTAACATATTTACAAGAGGCGGCTAACGGGATCGGCTGGTCAGGCTTGGTTGATGCATGTCATCGATCCCAATTGCGTGGATCGATGCTCATGAAGCCAATCACCAGATTGTCTGGTTAAGACTCGATTATTTACAGACCGCCGTCATATAGCTGGAATATTGCTGAGTGCTACGTTAAATAAACAAACATATTTACAAATTTTTAAACGAGTCATTATAATCGAAATTTGGTTATATACTTATATTTGCAAAGAACGTCGTACGCCAGGCTCGTAGTTATAGCAATAATTAGCAAAATGTTAGTTAAAAACTGTGTGTAATCAAGCCTTTGTATGCTTTTTACGAGAAATTACATTATTATATTTATATTTCATATACATGTTTTATATTATTATTATTATTATTATTATTATTATTATTATTATTATTGTTGTTGTTGTTTTTGTTGTTTTGAACTTTGTGAATTACGGGTATAAAGATGGGATTACTTCCTTTATCACACAACATACTCCAAATTAAACAAATATAAAACTTATATCTTCATTCAAACACATTGGTGAGATGTTTTTTTGAGAATTTTTATATTGATTTAATAGAATTAGATATGATCATAAACTCTTCCTGTGATCACTGAACACCATATCAGTTGTAGGATGGGGTGACACATTGTATATAACAAACACGCTATTATATAATCCAGGTCTAGGGGAGGACTCGGATAAATGACAATCTGCAGTCGTCGACTGGAAACTCAGGGACGGTGTTCACCATATCAATATTCTTTTTCTTGTAAAAAATGCCAGCTGAGAGAAATGTCTTTCTGTCAGATTCTATCCAAGGGACGTTCTTTTGAGAAAAATGTCTTTTTTTCTATCAGGGTCTATTTGACGTATGGAATCCAAGAGACGCTCTTTGAGAGAAATGTCTTTCTGTCAGATTCTATTGATGTATGGAATCCAAGAGACGCTCTTTGAGAGAAATGTCTTTCTGTCAGATTCTATTGAGGTATGGAATCCAAGAGTCGCTCTTTGAGAGAAATGTCTTTCTCTCAGATTCTATTGAGGTATGGAATCCAAGAGACGCTCTTTGAGAGAAATGTCTTTCTGTCAGATTCTATTGATGTATGGAATCCAAGAGACGCTCTTTGAGAGAAATGTCTTTCTGTCAGATTCTATTGATGTATGGAGCCAAGAGACGCTCTTTGAGAGAAATGTCTTTCTCTCAGATTCTATTGATGTATGGAATCCAAGAGACGCTCTTTGAGAGAAATGTCTTTCTGTCAGATTCTATTGACGTATGGAATCCAAGAGACGCTCTTTGAGAGAAATGTCTTTCTGTCAGATTCTATTGATGTTTGGAATCCAAGAGACGCTCTTTGAGAGAAATGTCTTTCTGTCAGATTCTATTGATGTATGGAATCCAAGA